TACAATTTAGATAAAAGACCGATATAATTTTTTTTTTGTGTCTTAGACAGGGTAATATTTTCATAAGAAATACCGTAGAAATAGTAAAAAATACTAAAAAGCTTTTGAAAAAAAGTGATAATCTATAGAAGGTCTTTTGTAGCGACGAAGTTGGAATTCGAGTTTAGCAATCATAGAAATCCAGAAAAAATAAACACCACTAAATGTATCTATATGTACGTACTTTTATTGAGAGGTGTTTCATTTTAATCTAATTGCCAATGTCCTTTCATAGATATTTTTGAAACATGTTCTAGAAAAGAGTTATAGGATAGCCACTAAACTAAGGTCCTAAGACCTAAACAAACCTCCAGTCTGGTACACAGTGTACGCTCCAGGACCCCCACAGCAAAATTGCTTGTCACACTTGTCAGTGTTATGACCTGGACAAGGAGCTGTGCAATCATGAACAGAATCAGTAGTTGTCACTGTTGCACCATCGTGTTGTGGACCTACACAAATTGATTAAGGTAATTAGAATGGAGATATTAAGACACTTGAAATAACTCAAGGGCAAGGGCAAGGGCTAGCCGACACTGAAAACGCCTGCGAGAAGTCTAGTAAACTGTGACCTGCTGACTATAAAAGCATTGCATACCCGAGAGTTCCTTTTGCGGGTGGTCTTTCAAGCAGCCACAGATGTCATCGTGAGTGGCTGAAAACATGTGTTTCATGTCATAGCAATACTTCTGGCAAAGAGCGTTGGTATTCCCGTCAAGAATGGTATTGTTAAGCAACTGAAGATTTTTGCCCAGAAAACAGCCATAGTAAACTGGCGATGGACGAGGCACCTCTGCGGTCTCCAGAGTGTCACGTAAGGCACTAGCATCACGAGAATGTCGCGACATGAGGCGAGGATGGGATATTGCTTTACTCCTTTAAGGAAAAAAAAAAGAACAGTTATAAGACTGCATTATTTTGAACATGTAGAATGGTATTGTTAAGTAAAAAGGAGGTCATGTTACCCTGCGCACGTTCCATTCTTTCAATTTTTAAATTTATAATTAATTATTATAAAACATCTTTACAAGATCCTCCGACAGCACTTAAAATAACGGAAACTTTATCTTTATATTGAATTCGTCGATTTAATCTCATCCATGAATTTACAGAAATCAGACCAAAACTTGTGTTTGAGCTTTATCTTATTTATATTTTATTTTATATTATTTATCTTTATTATCACTTGTTGAACGATGCGCGCTTTTGTCAGTATTAAGTCCAGTCCCTAATCAGGTGAAAATTGCAAAGAAATACATAATCAAAAGCAGACTCTAGCTAATGACGTCAGTCTGATATGGGTGGAAAAAAAGCATGCAAGATGAAAATTCTTATTTACTTACAGATCACTGGATACAAGTAACACATAAAAAGCGATTACATATAATTTGGCTGCCATTTCTACAAACAAAGCAAAAAACATTAATTCAATTGATCAATAAAATAACCAACAAATTCCGATAGTAAACTATCTTATTCTCCTATCGAATGGCCAATAGATCGGCTAACGCTTTACGCTTTGCTTTGTACGTTACCACCCACTTCAAATCCTGCGGGTAAAAGAATCTTGTTTTCTAAGAATTCAACTATGAAATGAAAATACAACGAACAATGAAATTTACTCCCGGGTGGTTTGAATTGGGTGAAAACGTTAATAGCAACGCGTTAGCCGATTAGATCTATTATTTTGTTTCAAATAATAGCCCTCGCTATTGTTAAGGCTCTGTTCTCACCTATAATAGCATGTCACGGCATTGACAATGTTTTTGAAGGTTTTTTCCAATTTTCAAGCTCATTTCTCTATATATTGCTCTTTTTTGGCAAAACTCAGATCCCCATTCTAATCTAAATTTCCCTTCATGACTACTATCTAAGAGGAATGGCTACTGCACTACAAACATTAAGGACAAGTCTCCCAGACAGCAATTTTTACAGCGTTTTCGACGGAGTGTTAAAAAACAAACAAATAAAAACAAAAAACAACAACAATAGCAATAACAATAACAGAATATCCGCAGCTGGGTAAATTCAATCTTCCGAATCCAAAAAAAAAATTAACAGGATTTTAATCCTGTTTAAAAAACCTCTTGTCGGCTAGTCTGGGGTCTGGCTAGTCTGGGTGTCGAACAGAATCGCTCCGCGTTGACAAGCTTAGGCTGCGAACCACAATATGAAACCCAGGGATATAAAGAATGAAGTCCTACTTTACCTCTTTATAGTGATAAAACTGATGTACAGCAGTCTTTCAAATGAATAGATCAGGGACGTTTGATATCTTTAAGAGAAATTCAGAAACAAATGAATAATTCATGAGGTTTTTGCCCATCGAGGTTTGACTAGTAGGTCACATGATAAAGACCTGATAAAGTCGATAAACACATTAAAAAGATATTGCATTAATTATTCACGAGCTTCAAATATTGTCTGACTTTTGTTTTAAAGTATTATACTTTTGATTTCCATAAACAAAAAAAAACACATATATTTACAGGATAGTATTACATACAGCCTTTCGCAAAAAGTATGAGAATTGTCTAAATATCTAAATATCATAATATCGAGTGAATGATGGGTAATCCCGCACGATGCTCTTAGTCCCTTGTCTTTGTAGTTTAGTTTTTTTTTGGCGACAGATTTATCCGTAGCTCTGAACATTATCTCGATGTCAACAATGAATTATTCTAGCAAACCCGCGTGTTCCGGACAATATATGGATATGGATATTATGATATTTAGATATTTAGACAATTCTCATAATTTTTGCAAAAGGCTGTAATATAGAAATATACATGTATACATATAAATAAATATTGTAAATAATATATAGAGGATATTACATGGGAGCGCGGCGGAGATACGGATTTTATCTTCGAGTGTTGAAAAGATCTCTCACGAAGAATGAGCGTAGCGATTTTCAAAACGAGAAGATAAAATTCGTATCTACAAGCGACCATGTAATATTCTATTTATCATATAATGACATATAAAAGCAAATTATGTCGTAAAATACCTTTTTTCTTAAGTCCACTATATAGCGAAACCTTGAATGTGTTATTTTCACTAGTGAAAATGTCATCTTTATGCAATGGAGAAATGTAGGTATTTTATAGATAATTATATGATAAAATATAATAAGGAATGTTTATATTAAAGCGAGTGCTAAATTTAGACTTATGGATATGCAAATTGTTGTTTTAATGCAATATAATATTCAATTTGTACGTACTAACTTAAATATTGACCATATGAAAAACGAGCAGATCAGACTGGGAATGAGCACCTTAAACTGTCCATGTTTTTAAAAATCTGTTTTCACAGTAAGAAAGAGTATATCTAAACTAGTGATTTGGCGTAATTTAAGTTTCAAATGGCAATAAATATAATTCGCAGAGCTACGAGGACTTGAAGCGCACCAAAAACTTGAAAACGAGGTTGGTAAGGCCTCGATACTGATTTTCACTCAAACCTTTACAATTTCAAACACCTGTAATTTCTGGTCCATATAAATGTTAGAGCATTGAAACTTTCAGATCTTACTCATTATAATATGTTTTTAATGGGTAGCAATGATATATCAAACAACTTATACACCTATTTCAAAAAACGTTGTCATCGCCAGGACACAGTCCACAGTGTTGAGCCTGCAAAGAATCTTGGGATTGCCATATATAATTACATATTCAATGAATACTCCGATTTGGGCTTCTGGTTTGCATTGTGTTAGCCTCAAAACCAAGCAACATATTCTTTTGTTTCATTAATAGCCCGAGAAAACGCATGGAATTTTAAAAGAGAGACAATAGAAATGATTTGAAATCTCACACTTTTATTCAGCACAATTAGGAATATTTTGCGCACAAATGAGGCTGACACAGAGCATTGGAGAATTCGAAACTGGATTATTCTCGGTCTCGTATCGAATATAGCTTTGAAACTCATTGACGGTTTGAAAACGAGGAATATTTTTCAAGGAAAACGTCTCGTGGCGAGACTTGTTCGATGGGTTTAACGCCTGCAATAGTACATTAGTGACAGTAGTGTTTGCCGTCATTAAATTCAAACCACAATATATTTTGAATATATTAATTATGCATGGACCCCGAGATCCTTTGCAGGCTCAAGACTGTGGACTGTGTCGTGGTGACGACAACGTTTTTTGAAATAGGTGTAAACTAAGGCGTTACGATAGCCACGCACTTTTTCATATGGTCTATGCCTTAAAACCGTTAAGACTCAAGCGACGACACTTATTGTCCGACAATAAAATGCTGTGCTATCACATGACAATTTTATTCATGTTTTGTCAAGAGTTTAGTTTGTCTACTGTCTATTGCCTCGGTGGTGTTTAACACCTTTTAAGCCGTGTTATTGTTACACGTTGTTATTGTTCGGTGTTTGTTGACTTCTCCCCTTTATAAAACAACATTTCATAATGACAATGGTAATTGTTTTCAGATTTTCAAGCAGTTTCAGTATATAGCAGCCTTGTATAGTCCCACAGACCTATTCCTCCATGTGGGATCGCAATGTGTACGATGTACACGCGCTCAGTAAAATTTCAATAACCAATTTTTTTATTATATTTTTTTTTTTTAATTTTTAAGATTTAACTGACTACAATTTTGTTTAAATGTTTTTAAACTCGTTTTAAAACCCATGGGACTATATAAATGTCTTCAGAAATCGATCAAAATAATAGGAAAATAAAGTGAAACGAATGGATGATTAGTAGGAAGCTGATACATTATATTTCTTCTTTTAATACTGAAAACTGATATTCCTCGAAATAGTTTCTCATATTAAACCACTTTCAAAATACAATTGGTAAATTGTATTTTTAAAAAGGATTGAAAACACGAGATATAGTTAGATGAATCATTTATGACTTATTGAAAACCTCGTAAGAATTTAAAACAGCCATTTGTGTCATAGATCTACCAACAAAGCCTAACTGGTGTTTTGATGCTCGACAAAGGCGACGAAGTGTTCTTGTTTTTTTTAATTAAATTCTTTATTGAAACGACATATAGAACGGCTTATCAAGGGATGGGGCTCTATGTTTTTTAGTTATGATTATATTATAATATGACCGTAGGGCTTTTTTGAGAATGGCAAGGACGTTCTCACAAACTTTTTTTCGAGAGCTTCGCTTCTTGAGTTTCACTCGGGTGGGCAGGCCATCATTCTTTGCCCTCAGTCTACTCTCTCATGCACTCAAATGTATTAGTGATATCGACATTGTTATTGCTCTATAGCGTCTTAGGGTTTTTTCCACAGAGCCATAGTCCATGTCAACCTTAATCTATATTCAGTTACCTGTAAAACGAGCTCGGAAAATGAAGCGCGGGACATAGTATATAATCAAAGCACGCGAAAATAAAGCTTTACAGGTATAAGGGCGTGTGCCTTTTCATGGTTGTTACCGGATTTCGATTGTTAACGAAATATTTCAAAAGCCGATAGGACTGAACCGTTCCATTTGGCGAAAACGTTTGAAAATTGTTCAGAATTCTATCGTGAGAGACAGACTTTTATTTATGAATTTTAAGTCAATAAAGAATTTACAAAGATTGTAATCTTTCTATATGAGAAAACTTGCTGTGATTTTGTTTGCCGATTGCTGAAACACTTTCCAACTCGGTCACGCTACAAATGTTGTTCATTCAGTACTACTTGCAAGAAAAAGCTCTTGTTGGAAATATGACTAATTTAGATATATTCAAAACTTATCAGGCAGTAGTTTGTTATTATAGAGTGGTCCCGAATCAGAAAAAAAATTGTCAAAAGAAAGAACAAAAGGATGGAGTAAATGACATCACTTACTCCAACATTTTTTGCCAAAATTCCTAAGAAATGTCATTTATATTATAAAAATTATTGCATGCTGCATGTTTATAGGAACCTTAATGATAATTATACAAGAATTTTGTGCCTTCTCTAATGTTTTTCCATTTTTCATCCAGTAAAGTAGGCTTTAATAATTACTCTGGAACTGAACGGTTGAAAACCTTTTTCAAAAGTCAATTCTCGGGCTGATCATGACATGGGCTGCCCCAGTTCCACTGTCTAATTTATTTATTTTTTCCCTTTGGGGACAGCTCATTTTATATAATAATGAGGGCATTTTGGAAAACAGAGTTAGTGTCAATTTCGAAAAAATGCACTAATTTTTCAAGACTGTTGTAATAATTGCATTTTGCGTACTTTACGGTTCGGTAAGGTCTAGTTTCCGCCAGAGAATCTGTTGTCAAATAAAACAGCGGTTATGGTAGAAGCGTGCAATGGTAGAAACCTCTCATATTCAAAGGTAACAAAAGTGTTCGAGAGAAAAATATAGAATACTTTTTACCATATATATGATAATTTTCTTGCTTTCTGATTGGTCGAGAGCCGTGGTAAATAAAAGTACATACCACGGTCACTACTTTGCTCGCGATTAACTTTGATACTTTAAAGAAAAACAATGGACTTTCCCGACTTTTCTGTCATTGGAAATTTAATTCCTGAATGGGCAGACAAAGCGAAAAAAATATGTATCATGATTTGTCGAAATAAATGTTTTGGTTCAGTTTGAAATGAGATTTCGACTTCGTCTCGTGGATCTATAACAATCTAGACGATTCGATGACTCAACTGTGGTAAATAAGAGGACATACCACGCGAAACTATCGCAAATTTGTTAGATATATTCTACTCTGATTTCGGTTTATCAATAACAAGAAGGCGGGAAAATGCTATTTTATATTTTTCTCTCGTAGCAAAATCCCCGTTTGGCGATTTTTTCCTGAGATTTTCTGCCGATTTTCAAAAATCGAACTGAACCTTATCCTTCTGAGGAGTCGTTTAGTTAGTTCATCTCATTGTACTGAATGTTTACAGGTTAATCCTTTAGCACTATTCTCTAAGATCAAATTGACCACAAATATCGGCGCCAGAATCTCCAGTAGTGTAAAATCAGCGGCCTGAAGGTTCCTAGAGGTTCTCAAGGTCAAGGATTAACGCTAATTGTCTTTGACCAACCCGTCCCAGCACTGCATGAGCATCATTCCAGCAATAATAACGAATAGACTTCGAATTAAAAGTCTTTCTTTTATATCACCCCAGGAATGRAACTACATACCATATATAGTCATAAGCTACCATAAGGACTTACATAGATTTTAAGTTAATATTTACCCTTGGTTCAGTAGAGCGCATTATCATRTCCGTGAAACAATTTTTAAAGGGCCATGATCCACCAGCATGCAATGCRGCCGTGCAGATTTTTCATATGTGGAAAATGAGGTGACTTCAAATATCCAATTTTAATCCGCTTCCATCCGTTAGTTTTAATATCGAATCTTACAATATTTCCATTCAAATTGAAGAGTTAGTTTTTGTTTATATTATGACGGTGAATTCTATTTTCAAACATGAACAAAAGCTCGAATGGTATGCTGGTGGGCAAAGGCCCCTTCAGAAACTGAAAACTAGCCAAATAGAAGTAGAGTCCTTGCTCTTAACCCGTGAAACACTAACTAATTGTTGGTTAGTAATTCTCCAGTCGAAACAAAGCAAAACAATTAAAATAATTCGTGATTCTATTAGTTTACTATAGTCGAGATGAACTGTTTCACGGGTCAAAGATAACGACTCTAATAGGCCTTTTCCATGAAACGGTCACATGGTACTAGATCGTCCATGCTGGATGGCAAAATACCCACTGGGATGTTCAAAACAAAGAAAAGTCAAGCTTGACGGGCTGCGTTCCTTTTGTTTTTTGAGGTTGTTGACATTCTTTTGCCATCCATCTATGACGGGTTTAGTGCCATGTGACTGTTTAATGCAAAAGACCTTTTAGCATACTTTTGTCAGAAACTACTCGGATGATACGAATGCACTCTATAAAGAGARAGTCGCGACGTGTATAAAAACACTGTATGATAATTAAAACAATAAATTACTCCATTTTAAAAATACTTCACACATTCGTGCATTTTACGTCTTTCCGGTTCCATTTTGCTCAAACCTATAGCCTAAACATTTTATTCTTCGTTTTCACWATACGTCACAGCGGCCATTGTGGAGTAACGTTAACAAAGGATTCCTTATTGGTATCTATTGTTCATTCTTCCAACATGGCCGTGGGTCTTTAATCTTTTGAATCTCAAGGGAATGGTTGAAAAGGATAAATTTGTCAATTTGACGTTCAAATTTAATTTAATTTGACAGAATTAGTCTAGCGAACCTATTCCCCCACTGTAAACATGCTGTGACGTCATCATGCGATAGGTCAATCGAGGCTTGCTTGAGCAAAAAAACTAGATTATTCCAAGGCCCACATGTATCCATTGTAGCGATTGTTTCTTTTGTTTTACAAATAATTTCTTGTTGAAAGGTGTTTTCCTATTGACTTAAAAACAAAAATAGAGAATTTTCGTATGTGACCWAAACGCGCAAAGATTCTTGGATGCATGTTGGCCTTTTAATAATGGCAGGAGTGTCATAAATTCAATCAATTAGATTGCGTCACGTCTAATTTGCGAAAAGAAATATTGATGAGAACCACTTGATGTCAACAGCCAATCAAATTAGTCCAATTGTCACAAGGTYACTAAAAATATAGCCAATCAATCTCCACGGTCGATGAAACTGTATCGCGTGATGTCCATAAACCAGTTAAATTCAGTAAATTCAGTCATTTTATATATTCGGTGCAAATAAAATTGAGTCACGTGATGTCCAAAATATCCACATTGAATCACGTGATATTAACTGCCAATCAAATTGTGCCATGTGTCATTAACAGCCCAATCAAATTGAGCTACGTACGRTTAAATGTCATAGATAGCTGTCTTGGAAGGTGAGACAGGCGGAGAAGCATTTTGAACTTGCGAAAYTTCCTCATTGACAGTATCASCCTCGATTGAARACTCCTCTGTGATTGGCTGATTCTCKGTGTCATTTTGTTCGGTACCARTTTCCTGTRTAACAGGATCTGGTTGAACGGCCTTTTTGTTCAGTTCGGGGCTTGGTGCAAGTATAATAGGTACTGATGGACGTACGTTGTCTGCTAGTGAGCCCAGTTGTGTCGGAGACCCGCTCCGATTCCCAAGAGAAGGTAAGGGAGGCTGGAGAACGACGCAGACTTGCTGGTTCCCTTGCGGTGGAGGTGACGTGATACTTGTACCTGATGTAGGCTTTGCCTCGGTTCCTACCTTTCTGTCAACTCCTAAGAAAAGAAAAGATAGATAAGAAAAAACAACCACCATCATAAAAGAGACTGCTACGGCTGACTTTGAAAAATCTAGGCTCTTATACAGCTATTTCATAAAACGTTGTCGGGGAGAACGGCATGGCGATTGTCGAAGGGAGATTGTACGGCCGAAAGAGACTATGGTTACATTGTTTTGATTAACAAAATTTCACCTATTGGATACATCTTATTCCAAAATGGCTGACTAGCCCTTGATGCCTCGTTTTCATAAAATTATTCTTTTGTCTTTGAGCTTGAGTGACTTTAAAAGAAAAGAACAATTTCATGAAAACGAGACATCAAGGGCTAGTCAGCCATTTTGGATTAAGGTGTATTCACCTTACATAGTAATGGAGACTAAATGTAGCCCTTGTTTACCACAGACCATCTTACAGTACAAATCAGTTGTTATTTCATTTCACAGAGCGAAACCCATGACTACATTCGGTCGTGCAATCGCCGTTCGACAATTGACATTCGCCATTTTATCGGACAACCTTTTTTGAAATAGCTATATATATACGCGGGCTTTTACTGTAACTGCTCATGTTATACTCGGCCTTAACAATTAATTATTCATATCATACCCGACCTCATCCAATGAATGTTCATATCATGCACAAACTCATCCAATAATTGCATATTATCATGATGACACGAATGGGTGAAGATTCTTCTTACCTTCCTCTTTCGTGACAGCATCTCTACTAGGCTCGGTTTCAGCTCTTGGAACCTGGGGCGAGCCAGCTCGCGAGGAAGGTTGGGACCTTGAAAACAACTCCTGCTTTAACTTCGGCAAGAAACAATCGATTCGTTCCCASGTGACTTGCCATAAGGCAGAATATCGGTGAACATCGGAATCCGATCGTGCTAGTCGTGGTGCTGTCGCAGTCTTGTCGGGTTTGCCAAGGCTAAGTGTGTAATCTTCCTGCTCAAAGATGCCCGCCGTCGACATTACGAGTAGCATGTTTTTGAGAGATTCAGGTATCGCTTCRAACTGGAAGACAAACACAAATTATTCTTAGCTTTATATCAGTAAAACGATTACTTGGTTTATCATTGGTACTGGAAAATGACTTGCTGTTATGAATATAGAACCCCTGCATGTGACGTCAAACTATCTTCATCTCGAGGCAAAATAATTTTGCTTTCTCGACAACAAGAACCCATTCCAGACTACCCACATTCATGTCGCAGGAGGTCTGGGAACAAGTCTCTTTTAAAGGGCTACTYRRWCKMRA